TACGTAAGGTACTAAGTTAATTTTAGTACCTGTATTAGTTAATTACTTGTACTAGTATGTATAGAACTAAAACCTTCGACCGTAAACGTTGTGCTATTTGGCTGTTATGTTAAACCTATATTAAAGTTTTTCTTCATTACCCATTCAAGCCGTCTCCAGCCATTATTAGTCTCAAAGTGGGTTCCTCGTCACCGAAATTAAAATAGCAGCTATTTTCATCTTTATTTCGTCAGGAATTGCGTGGATTATCAAATATCAACGAAAAATGAGACTGTGTGAAATGTGCCAAGTACGTTAGGCCTATGTCTGTCATTAGGCCTATCACATCTACGGTACTTAACTTCACACAACTATATTCTCTTTTGCTATTACCTGAACATTGTTGCATGTCTGCTGCTTCTTGCTCGTCTCACGCTATTTATATCTTTATCACATAGTCGTCTGGACACTTTCTATATTCTCGACACCAATTAGTTATTAACAAAACTTTCTACAATCGTCTGCTTTTAACTCTTATTATAACAAAACTTAAAAATAATAAAGTATTCACTCACAAATATAAATTGGTCACTAATATTTAAACCAAACTGTCTTTTATATCAGGACACATACACACCAATGCATATAAATGTATTTCAAAAGAATCGCTAAGATAAATATAAGAAATATGCGATAATTTAACATTCTAAAAGCTACATTGTTTAGTTGTATATTATGGGATTTTTCGTTTTATTTTTCTTTTATTTATAATGTAATTTATTTATTCAATCATCACATTTGATTCATAATTCTATCATCTATAAATGTCAAAGCCCCGCAATGCACAGAAATATAAATACATAATTTCAATAAAGTTACCATAGCAACTACAAGAAATACATAAAGCCATAATTCGAGTATACAAAAACATAAAAATAACAATACTTCAAAAGTCAAATTATTTAATGAATTAATAAAAAACTGGCGTTTACAAAAGCAGTAACATGAAACTTATTATTTAGAATAAGAATACGAATTTCGTGAATAATTATTAACAAGATTTTGCATTTGCAACATCAGATTGAAAACAGTTAATTTAAAAAAAGAACTTGTAATATTTAATTTTTTTATATAATACTGATTAGCAACTTAACTGATAATACAATGAACACATTTTCATTGTCTTGATTACAAGTGCAATAGTTTGAAATTTAGTGAGACTGTTATTTTGATATCACAATCAGTGAAATAATACATTCAAATATTTTAGCAGTCAATCATTATTTTAACCCACTGATTTTCTACAGAGATCTAAAAGAAACGTTTAAAATTTTTTTCTAGAAATATAATCCATTTAAAATGTATTTAAAATGAATAATCAAGAATGATCGAATTTCAAAACATTTTTATTTATTAATGGTAGATAACGTTTTTACGTCGTTGTTGTCTGTGGCTGCTTTAAAACATAAGATGCGACAAATGTTTTTCGCTACATAATTTTATAATATTTTAATTTATCACAAATATCTGATTCGATGTTATTTGAAAATAAAAATACATATTTTATACAACCACGAGTTATAATGCGCTAGAGAAGTACTGACGTCATGTATTTACATCCCTTGCGTCACCAAAATGACAGTCAAGAGATGAGAAAAGAATAACGTGATAACGACTGTCAACAAAAGCGAAGAAGTGACAAGTAAAGGCTACGAATTACAAAAAAACTGGAGAAACTGTAATTTTCTGCAAAATTAGGTAAGCATAAAAATGTAATAAATAACTTAAACGGAACAAGTAATTCTGCAGGAAATATCAAGTAGTGTAACGTGTAAAATAAATGCAAAAGCCCATTTGCTTAAGCCTTTGTTTCACAAGTTTCAATGTGTAGACTGTAGTGTACCTCAGCCACTGGACAAGTACAGTGGTAATATATTGCAGTTTTATGGGTAAGCCTCTGATACTAGCGGAAGAAATTGTAAAGTTGTGTATGTCGTCATAATTAACTACAAAAACTGACCAAGTCAAACTCTGATGTACATTTCTGATAAGCACGTGACTGAAAAGTAAAAGGTTAGTTAGTTTCATTATCGGTATATAGAATCTTAGAAATTTAAAATTGTGTTAGCGTTACAAGTTTTAATTGAGATTTTTTTGTAAAATATTTGTTGCACCATTTTTCCCTGCTTGAATTTTCAAGAATATATAAGTGTAATAAGCACAAATGAATTTATGGTGGTTTTATTTAATAATATTATACTGACCAAATTAGAAATGAAGTTAAGAACTACACAACTTAATGAAGACGTGTTATGTTAAAAGTAGGTCTTTTAGGCCCTAGGGTATTCATCTACAGATTTAAAGTAATATGTTTCTTCAAAATCAAAAGACAGTTTTAGGTTATAGGTGTTAGTCAACCAAGGCATTACTTTTTATTTGTCCTATGTTTGTTAATCAACCTTTTTCTTAGTTTGAAAACAAGATTGAATTGTTGATGCAGGTTTTAAAATGTACCTAACTTTTAAGGGAATATTTTTAGGTAACAATATAAAAAACAACATAATTACATATTGAAAATATAATTTATGTTTTTATTCTTTATAATAAACATTATGTAGAAGTGTAATTATAAATAAACTCTTATCATTTTTAGGGAATCATACCAATATCTTTTGTAAGTTAAACTTTGAAGATCGTATGCCAAGCTGAGGAGACATCACCCACATGCTTGTAAGACCCTTAGCCATTTTTTATAACCTTATGTTGTCAAATTAACTTAAGAAAAGCTATTGTAAACAGAACTGGTATAATATAAAAATTCCTATTAGCAAAAAATTTAATAACTGTTTATTTTCTTATAATAAAGAATACCTCAAAGTCTTTCTTTTTCAGGTGATAACCTTTTAACTTTCAGTTTTGTAATTCCACCTGATGATGAAGAGATTTTGAAAGAGGTGGAAAGTAAAACTTTTATAGTTAAACATGATACTTCAGTTTCTAAGTTTTTCTTTTTACATTATTTTTTTTTAATTTTTTACATTTACATTAAATAATTTAAGTATTTCCAGAAATAAACTAATTGTGTTGTATTATTGTCATCATTGTAAATGGGAGATACCAAACCAAAGCTTCTAAAATCCACAACAGTCTATAAATCATTAAAATAGTGTTTTATTTTCTAGTTTTGGATGTTATAATGATACTAGAAACTTATTATTAAACACATTAGAGATACCAAACCAAAGCTTCTAAAATCCACAACAGTCTATAAATCATTAAAATAGTGTTTTATTTTCTAGTTTTGGATGTTATAATGATACTAGAAACTTATTATTAAACACATTATAGTTGTAATATTTAGAATGTGCTGATTTGTAAACTTTTCTTTGAAAAATCTATTTTTTTTTATTTATCATTGTATATCTTAATGGTTAATTTGGTATGCTCCTATGTACGTCTGTAATCCAGGCCCACATTTTTATATTTACTTAACAAATTTCATATCCACCTCAAAGGCGGCTATTCACTCAATCATCACAATTCTGTAACAATAAAAAAACACTGCACATTTTTTAACTTTTCTATGCCGTTGCTATTTTAAAGCCAATATTTATTTTTCAGTAATTTTCACAATATTTGAAAAACACTTTCAAGGATGCTGAAAGTTGTAATAAAATAATAAAAGTTGTGTTTGTACCCCCAGTAGTTCATTAGGGCTTACACAATCAGGTTTGGATACAATTTGATATGTGGAGTTATGTCTTGTAAAAAAAAAAAAAAGAAAAGAAAGGTTAGGTAATCCTTTGAAATTAGTATATAATGATAATATAAATGAAATATTTGTGACTGATAATGGTTTTCATAATATTATAACCAGATAGAAGTAATTTATTATAAGTATACATATAACAGATGTTATTATGTACGAACCATGTTTAGGAAAATTAAAATTGATGAAACCGGTTGTTAATTTTGTAGACTAAATATATGAGCCTTGAAGAAATATTTTCTGAACAGTAATTTTTTATTTTTTTAAAATATATATAGGTGGCATCATCCTTTACTGTTTCTAAAAAAAGTAGGCAAGAGGCTCCATGGCAGAAAATAGGTAACACATTTTTTTTTATTCAAACAACTTTTTATTGTTTTTATAGAGAAGGAAGAATGAGAATTGGGTTAAATTACTTTATTTTGATTAAAAACAAATGTCTTGTATTGAAGTTAGGAGAATGGAAGATTTCATTTTATGATTTAAAAAAAATCTAAGGTTAATACAGCCATTGGTGTTTGTAATTCTCAACTTAAATGTCTTTGTAAGGCATTTGCATTACAATAATAAAAAAAAAAAAGATTTAAAAAATATGTTTATTCACAAAGAAAAAATATTCACAGGAAAAGAGCTGAGTGATTAATTGACTACCTATGTGCATTTATTACATCAATTAGTGTCACGTAAAATATTGATTAATGTCGTGAAAGTAATCAACTAATCAAAAATAATGATTATTATCATTTTTTAAATATTCCAACTATCCAAGTCTCGTGACAATTATCAATTAGTTGAATGTAATTGATTAATGAGCCCTTTGATTAATTGATTATCAAATCCCATTAATTGCCCATTTCTTTACAGGAAGGAATTTGAGAAAATGGTTGATGAATACCTGGGGGATCAGGGCATTATCGGTGATTAATTTTTCATTTGTTGAGGGAGGTTGGGAGTCACGACATGTTGATAACCAAAAAGCCTCTTGACGTCCCATAATTCGTGATCAGTTTCATCGTTTTGATATACGTGGAAGTTGACTTTGAAGGAAATGTTTATTAATTTTGACATTTTCTGACGTTGTCTGTCATAAATCGATAATTTAAGTGACATGTATAGCTATGTAAATATTTCATATTCTATTTAAGAAAGAATAAAAACCAAAAATAACACACTTCATGATTGGTTGAATGCCGATGTTCTGAATATAGTATGACGTTTTTGTCACCAGGTGTTGACAGGTTATAAGCATGCATTAATCCTTTTGCTTAGGTAAAGGTAGTAAATGGCAACAGCAAGAAGCTTCCACCAAGTTGGCCTCGCCTTTATATACTCCCTATGGTGGCTAAGCCTATCTCAAGGGGTGACACAGATACTTGTGTAAATTGGTACAAGTTAGTTTGTGTTTTTTTTTTCTACCCCATAAGTGCTATTTGAAATAGTCTATAACATATGGATCATTGGATTCTGGTACTCCACAATTAAAGGTTTTTATCTTAATCTGGCACAGTAAATCAGAATTCCTTGTCTTTGTCTCCTGTGGATGCAAAATAAAATTCCTCTTGTCCTTATCCTATGCAACAGTCCCAGTGTAAAAAAAAAAAAAACAACAGTCATTTATCTTTAATTCTGAAATTTGTCAATCTTTTATCAAATTCTCGAATCTTCGCACTTATTTTGCCGTCGCCTATTGTACCAGCTAAGCCTAACTAAGCTTACCTGATGTTTTGCCACAGAAGAAAATTTCTGTAAATTTCAAACAGATACAATTTAAAAAAAAATACTTTTCATGAATAAAATGAATGTCTAAAGAAGATATAAAATCTTCTCAGATCTGTGTTTTATTTATAAGTGTTTTTTGAAACTCGGCATTAAAATCCTCGTGTTCACTCCTACAGATGTTTCACGTAGCCAATTCCTGAAGATACTACAAATTACTGCTCAAAACATTTCATTTATCTATTATTGATGTAGAAAGATTAAAGTATCATCTACCAGTCATTTTTAGCCTTTAGCTATTTTTAAAGCTAAGCTTCATTGGTAATTGTTCAGATCACGTGCTGTGATGTAATGTCATAAGGCCCGGAATGGCCAGCTGGTTAGGGCGCTTGACTCGCAATCTGCTGTGGGGGCATTATAATAACTGTATTATACAGGGTCAATGGTTTTTCATTATTGCTGTATGTATTAAATTAGTCTGATATTCCACTTAGTACACACAAAATATGTTCTGTAAAAAGGCCCCGATAGATTTTTTTCCAAAAGTTGGCTGGTACACATCGCACCAGGCTGGTGTCTTTTTTCACTGAAAGAATGTTTACAATTGTCATTATTTTGTTCTTGTGCATCAAGAGTGTATGTACTCATACCAGCTATTCAACACTGGGCAATTTTTGTGTGGATTATTTAGGTAAAAAAAAAAGTAGAGTGCCAAGGCCTGTCCACTTAATTAACACGCACAATCAAAGAATGTATTAGGCCTCTTATGTCACAGATTTTCTTTTTAATTTCACCTCTGGTGTAAAAGAAAAAAAAATCTTTAACATATATATATTGTCATTAAACATTAGGTCCGCTGTATAATATCGAATAATGAATTCGACAAAATGTGTTAACATTATTCACATACCTAAATGAATTTAGGTTACTATATTAGTACATGGTAAAGTAAAACGGATTCAAGATCCCATAGATAACGAAACCGTTCTATTTTTCCAACTACCAGTTCTACCGGTACAATTTGTACAAGCTCTACGTAACTAAATGATATTAATAGGCCTAACTTCACAAATAATTAACGCCTGAACAGAAATTTTCTTAGTTACTAATTTTCTCATACTTTCGTCATCTCCAGTAATTCGTTGAATAATAATAAAAAAAAAACTCATAATTTACAGTGCTGAGCTAATTAGCTGGCTGATTCATTATTCAGTCAACAGTCTTGTGTTTTATATCGTTCAAATTGTTTCCTAAACTTTAAAGAAAATCTAAACTATTAACTTACGATACGCTCTCACACATGACATAAAAAAAAAACCCTCTTGCCAAGAAAAACAATACACAAGTCTAAATTAAAAGCATAACCTACAAAAATAGTATAGCCCTGTATTTTGATAAAGCTAACTGTTCCCAGTACTTAGAGCCGTATTTGACAAATAGGTGTTGTGTACGGTTTATTTTGATATAAAAACCGTTTAGGTCTAATAACGCGCTTAACTGGATAACGTTAACCGTGCCAAGTATTCGGAGTATCCTAAGACTAAAACATGTCAAATTTATCTTGGTAACTGCAGGGTATCCACTGGCATTCAACGTTGCAGTGTGCAGTTGTTGGAGAGTATAATTGTCAAACTGCAACCTAGTGATTTTTATTCGTATTACATTAGTTTATGAAATTGCATAAAACTTTTTCTTCTCTAACCGTTCAGTCATTGGATATTTTTGTTGTAAACAACATTTATAAACTGATCTATTTATAATAAAATATTTTTCTACCAGTTTTACGTGCAAACAGTGTTTAATACATATAAAGATCTATAAGCAACCTAGTTGAATTGATTGTTGTTGTTTTTTTAAGGACTAAGTTTGTATCTGTTGTATTGAGGCTGAAATTTTGGTTTAAGAACTTTTCGTGTGTAAATAATTAGTTCAAAGAAAGGATTAGCAACAAAAGAAACTGGTTTTAGTGTACACCTACAGTGTCATTATTGTACAAGCTATTGCCCTGTGAAGTAAGAAATTTTGATATGCTGTTCAGTCAACTTGTAGCTTAAATTAGTCACCAGGAGGGTGTTTATCTCTCAGAATTCAGTAATTTGGTGATTCGGCTTGCTTTTTTCTCACGATATTTTTGCGGCATCACGCTGTTCGTTGTAGTAGGAAGCGACTTTCTTTTCAAGAAATCGGTTTGTTTCGACTGTTCGCACACAGCTATACAAGGGATATCGGTGCTTTGCCTTCTCTAATTATAGCGGAAGGGCAGCTTGTCAACAATACCAACCGCCAACTCTTTGGCTGTTCTAGTCGAATAGTGGGATATGACTGCCACTCTATTAACGCACTCTATTTTTTCGCTCACATCATTATATTTAAGAAAGAAAAAAAACAAGTTTTAATTGCTATACCACTTTTTAAATAATAAAAATCCTTGTTTCTTCGTCAAAATTTGGGTTCTAAAACGGGCTCACCGGTTGCTCATTCGTAAGCTTCAGAGCTTGTGACGTCCCACGTTCCCCAAATCGGGGTTCGTTAACCCATTCTGTAGCTGTTTGAGCTTAAACATAAAACAATTATTTCCCAACAAATTCCGTGTAAAATATATTTCTAAATTTTCAGTTTGGAATTTCTCAACTCCTGGTGGGAGTGGCGTGCACTTAGTCAAGTCGGGTGGGTATTTAGTGACTACATTAGCCAGTGTGGGTGTGTAGACATGCACACCCATCCGTCTCTGTTGCACAAATCAATACCATCTCCATGGTAGCCCCACCTTGCGTGGAGTTCGCTCCTTCGAAGGATGTGTTATCTACCGGGGAAGAATCCCGCCTAGACGGTTCAACATACTCTCAATAGGAAAAATACGAAACAGTCGCATTTAGGCATTGTTGAGTTGAATAATCAGGCGATTGATTCTATACCATTCTGTTTTATGATCTTTTTTAACTTAAAAATAAAGCGTGTAGATCTATAAAACCTGATCAGACGCACGAGTTAGTGTAAGAACGTTAGTACTAGTTGAAAGTTCGTCGAATCTTTATACGTTTTTACTTCTTTTACCGTGATGTGAAGTAAAAAACTATATATATATAAAGCATCTATAAAACCTGATCAGACGCACGAGTTAGTGTAAGAACGTTAGTACTAGTTGAAAGTTCGTCGAATCTTTATACGTTTTTACTTCTTTTACCGTGATGTGAAGTAAAAAACTATATATATATAAAGCGATCGTTGAGGTCCATCAAATGTCATCGCGAAAGAAGCGGGGTCGCGCTAAATCGGG